GGGAGAGGGAGAAGCCGGTTTCACCCGCTGAGCAAGGAGCCCGATGCGGGGCTCGATCCCAGGATCCTGGGGTCATGACCTGAGCCGAAGGCAGAGGCTAAATGGCTGAACCACCCAGGTGCCCCAGTGTCTCCTTTTTTAGTGTGTAAACCTTCATTTGACCCCCTATTCTCAAAACTGTAATTCTTTCCTCAGTTGTGTTGGTGCCCTTTAATTCAGAGTCTTCTTTCTGGTTTGCTCTCATTGTTTGGAGGAACATTTTCTGCACTTTACTCTTTTCTCATAGTAACTTTGTATTCATTGACTGGTTTTTCCTTTTTCACACAATATTAGTTTTCCTGAACTCCTTGGAGTGGGGAAGGCCAACATTTCTAGCTTTGTAGCTCTCCAGTTCCTCCTTCTGTTTTCAGAAAGCATTAAAATACGGCCTTGTTCTTATGATATTGCTTTGCCCTGTTCCCTTCTTTTATTTTTATTTAGACCTTCTCTTTCCTTTGCTGCCATTATCCTGTTCTACTCAATTTGGATTTTATTCCCAGCAGTTTCTGCTCATTATTACAGGATTGTTCTGGTTAATTTTGAGAGTTCATAGGTCCCAGACTGGTCTAGCCCTTCCAGACTGTACTGTAGTTGCTTTGACTCAGTGTCTGTTGCTGCTCTCCCGTTGGTCCACCGCACTTCCCGGTGAATGTCACTTGGCTCTTTTGGAATTCTCTTGTTTTTAGTTCTGTCAGACTCTCCATGCTGTTCTCTGCTTCTTCCCATATAGATGCTGGGATGCAAGTCTTGCAGTTCTCAGTTTGTCCCTACTCAGTTGTATCTTGGGGTTTGTGGGATACTTCATCAGTATCAACAACATGGTCTTGTTGTCTGTGCATTTTTGGTTTTGCTATTTTAATTTTTGTCTGCTTTTAATAGAGGCTTCAGGGAGATTAAAAAAAATTATGCCTGCATGGTTGCCATCTTCCCATAATTCCTAATAGTTCCAGTCCTCGCCTCACCCTCACTCCCACCTCTGATGTCCTCAGTGACCTCAGTTTCTGAGCATTTGGTGAGTTCTCTAGTGTCAGTTTTGTTGCTTTTATCTTTCTGTAATGCTTTTAGGATTCTATTTTCTTGGTCTGTTAAGTCATTTACCATTCTGCTTTTTGGACTCCAGCATTTTCTTGTTTTTAAAGATTTTATTTATTTACTTGTCAGAGAACACACAGGTGCACACAAACACAAGCAGGGGGCGTGGCTGGCAGAGGGGGAGAAGCAGGCTTCCCGCTGAGCAGGGAGCCCGATGCGGGACTCGATCACAGGACGCTGGGATCATGACCTGAGCTGAAGGCAGATGCTTAACTGACTGAGCCAGCCAGGTGTCCCAGGCTTCAACATTTTGTTGTCTTCATTCCCATTCTCTTGACTTTGTCATTGTAGTAGGGTTTTAGAAGTGAAGGAGATATAAATGCATATGTTCAACAGAAGTTAATGTGTGTTCTTTTATTTAATATATCTGTGTGTGTGTGTATTTCCTATCATAGCAATATTTATAGTATTAAAAACTGTTTAGACAGGGCACCTGGCTGACTCAGAAGAGCATGCAACTCTTGATCTTGGGGTTATGAATTCAGGCCCCACATTGAGGGGAGAGATTACTTAAATAAATGTTAAAAAAAAAACTATTTTGAAAAAATCTTTTTATGTTATATCTTTGTGAGTTCTGTATGATTGGAATGAAATTTGGTTTCAGTGCAGACTCCCATGATACTGGTGTATTAGCTATGAAACTCAGCTTGATTTTCACCTTTCTTCCTCTCCAGATGGCTTTGAAATGGGTAAAACTAAACTACATCTGATGGAATTCTGCTGAGACATTGTATACTGTATAGTTTTTCTCTCAGAAGCTAAATTCGTAGGTTTAATGACCTGCTTGAACATCAGATATTCTCAGCCAGGGGGAGAATAATTTCTAGGAATATTTTTAGGATCAGAGTTAGATTATTTTTAGAAATATGAGTTAAGTGGTGTTTCATTCTCTTTTTCTGCTATACCCAGAATACTTCTTACATTTAAAATGTTTTAATGACTATACATTCATGTAATAAAACTCTTGGTGGGGGGCGCCTGGGTGGCTCAGTTGGTTAAGCGACTGCCTTCAGCTCAGGTCATGATCCTGGAGTCCCGGGATCGAGTTCCGCATCGGGCTCCCTGCTCAGTGGGGAGTCTGCTTCTCCCTCTGACCCTCCCCCCTCTCGTGTGCTCTCTCTCTCTCATTCTCTCTCTCAAATAAATAAATAAAATCTTAAAAAAAAAAAAAAAAACCTCTTGGTGGGTATTTCCAAGAATTGACTGGTTGGGTTTTTGTTTTAATTTTTTAGTAAATAATTAATTGGAAATTTGTCTCCGCCCTGCCCCCCCACAGCTTTGAGGTGTGACAAAAATGTATATATGTTTTAGATGTACATGATGATTTGATATAATAGGTACACATTGTGAAATAATTACAGTGATTAAGTTAATTAACAAATCTACACGTATGTCACATAGTTACCATTTTGGAGGTTTATTTTACTCATCTTTGTATCTCCAGCATGCCTGGCTGGAATTTAGTAGGAGTTCAGTAAATCTGTTGAGCTGAACTAAAGTTAATGCCAAGATTTGTAAAATCAACTCACCTGCTTATAGCACCTAGAGTTGTGAAAATTGAGGTCTACTTTTGGTAGTTTTTGATCCTTTCTCTTGAGATAAATAAAGCCCAAGTAGTAGCCGTGTTCACCTGAGCCAATGTATGAGAATATATTGACTCTCGCAGGTATAAGAAGATTCTTGAGGATTTTTAAAATTTAAATTTTACTGTTTATACCGCTGAAAAAATTCCATAGTGTATATATATTGCAAAAATTATAGCTAATGGTAGAGACATCCCCAAACTCAACCTTAATACATTTGGCTAATGCTGGTGAAAGTTCAGCTGTTATGTAAGGTGATTCCACTAGTACAGTGTGTTTGAGTCCAACAAAAAAGGTGTCCCTGTCATCACTGCCTTATCAGAAAGCTTCTGCAACAAAAACTGCTAAGGCTACTCTTAATCTTCCCTTAGTGATTGTCAAATTTTGTATTCCATCGACTCAGGAACACTCCCTGGCTTCTTGATGTGAAGGGCAGCAGTAAGAACCTAAGTCAGGATTGAACACTGAATCAGACACAGCTGGGAATGACAGTGCTGGTCACTCAGGAAGAGCTGTTAATAGTAGCCACTGATTCTCTAGTCCAGTAAAGCCAGAAAGTAGGAGAGAGCCAGAAAGTTCCTAGAGGAAATGGTGTAGGGTATTTTATGTTTAGTCACACTGAGTGCTTTTCCTTTCTGATATGATATGGGGAGGCAGAAAGCCTCTGTTTCTTCCCCTTCCCCCAGCATGTCTCTTTGAGTTCTTAAAATGCTGAAATTCCTAATTCATTCTCTTTAAAGCTCCTCTCACTTCCAGCTCCTTTTCTAGGATCCCCTTGTCCTCATACAGATACCCTGCTCCTAATATCCCACTTCTGTGAATGAGCACTTGGAGACAGAGAGAGAGATCTGAGAGCCAGGGCTCAGTGGGGAGGGTGGCTGCTAAGTGTGGAGCATAAAGGAGTAAAGAAAGGGGATAAGAGAAGTGTCATTTCTTTTACAGTTTGCTTAAAAACATTTCTAATGTTGAACCTTCACCAGTCAGAAACTTGACCCAGAATATCACTAATGTGCATACCTGTGGTGGTTGCTGATTTTTCTTTATCTTTTTATTCTTGATGTTAAAAAGTAGAAGAAAATTCTGTTCCAGTCTGCCTGATTTCCCACAGCTCAGAAACCCAGCTTCATCAGGCCCACTGGGCTTTTTTTTTTTTTTTTTTTTTTTAATATCTTCCCAAACTTTTTTCCCTGGGTTTCTTTTACATATCCTGTATTTCAGCCAGATTGAACTATGAACCAGTCCCCATAATCTTGACATGTTTTCCTGTTGCTGTGCTTTAACTCAAGCATTCATTTCCTTTATTTGAAATGCCCTTCTCAGGTTGTGAATCATGCTTCCAGCCCATACCTCAAGTCTACTTTGAATGTACTGTCTCCATCATTTCAATTTCTTCTCCTCCCCTGTGCCTGAGGAATTCTTCCTGGAGCTTCATGTGAAAAATAATGTACTATATCACTTCTTTTGTCAATTTGAGGATTGCATTAGGGAATAGCTAATAGCTAAGATCTCTGAAACTTAGAAATTCCATGACTTGGTTTGAAGCTGCTGTGGTCACCCTGACCTTCCCTGGCAGGAGGACCAGTAGGATTCAATGGTTTCAGTGGAACTAGAATCTTCAGTCTTGGCCTAGCTTGTGGGGCTTAGGAAATTGAATATGTAATAGGGATAATTTTCTCTGGAAAATTTAATCAGATGGTGAGCTCACTAGCATATTGTGGCTTTTCTCTATCTTCTGTTATCATTAACTGCTCTCCAAGCAAGTGAAGAAAATGAATTTTATTTAGGAGGAAAAGTATTTTATTTTACTCCTGGTCAAGGTAATTAATCCCAGCTTTTCTTCTCTTTATAAAATGGGAATACCGTATTCTTTCTTGGTGCTCTTCTTTGTTTTACCGAAATGCCATGAGGGCAAAAGATGTTAGGCAATTGAGCACATACTACCACACTCCTCCAATGGGATATCATGAGGAGAGGGTTATAACAGACTTATTTCTTTGATATTCAGGTATGGAATTGGCAGTCAGAAGAATATGTCTTTCTACAAGCCCACCAGGAAACAGTGAAAGACTTTAAGCTCTTGAAAAATTCAAAACTGCTTTCCTGGTCATTTGATGGAACAGTGAAGGTAATCTGAAGCACGGGTTGCCTTTTTAAATAAGTATTCTAATATTGTAATGATTATATTTTGAAAGCTGAAAGAAGATGGATGGTAAGTGACTACTCAAATTTTTAGATTTGTTTTCTCATGCCTGTTTTCTTTTTACTGCTGTCACCTACATCTCCTGTGTATTTATGAGCATCTGTACTAAAGGGCACTTAAAGAGGTCAGAACAACCAGTGTGCTAAAGCTCTTGTTTTATAGATATGTATTCTAGATGATTATGCTCAGTAATACAAAATATTCTTAAAAGTGTCAACTTCTGAATTTTTTTTGAAGGTATGGAGTATTATTACTGGAAGAATAGAAAAAGACTTTGTCTGTCACCAGGATACAGTACTTTCTTGTGATATTTCTCCTGATGCTACCAAGTTTTCATCTACATCTGCTGATAAGACTGCAAAGGTAGTTCAGTTAGTTGAAATGTGCATGCATATAAAAGTTTGGTATTGGTTATGTATTATGAGTCCAAATGATGTATAAAATAGTAAGTTTCTGTCTACATGTCTGTCTCATATTTTGTGAGTTTTTGGAGGATGGCATTGGCATTTAGTTTGTGTCGAATAGATAAATGAATAATGCGAGGGCTTTTGTTCTGCCTTACGACTTTTTGTCTATTACTAATAAAATGTAGTTTCTATTACATATTACATATTATAGGTGATAAAAAGCACTGAAAAGGATTTACATTTAATTGCACATCCACAGTAAATGTTTATGTAATTGGTATAAGTTGATACTTCTGAAAATCACATTCCAGTGAAATGATGCTGCCTGGTTAGGGACATTGACTACTCCATTCCCTTCTTTTTTCTCTTTGTTAATGACCTCATTATCTACCCATCTTTCCAAACTATAAACCTTGGAATTGTGTGGGACTCTATCCTGTCTTTCATGCTCTCTTGATTACTCCTCAGTGTTTTTTGGCTCATTCTCCTCCTCCTTCTCCCCACCCAGAAGATTAGGCTCTCCCCCTTCATTGGTGGACCCACCTCTGGTCTGTGCCTCCTTAGTTTTATCTTTCCTACCGTGGTCTGAGTCTCCAGTTGAAACACCTCTGTGACCTGGCGGTTTATAAGCCAGACTCCTTTGCCCATGACCATCTCTTTCTGCTGCATTGTTCCCTCTGTGCCAGGCTACTTTTACCTCCATCATCTGTGCATGTGGTTTGGCTTGACACAAGCTTCTCCTTTTTTACCTCGAAGCGTTATGACTCATTCTTCCAGACCTAGATTTGATGTCAGCTCTTCAGTGAACCCTTTCCTAGCCCTCAGGCAGGGTGAGCTGCTCTACCTTTAGTGTTCCATTACATATTACTCATGTTTCTTAGACATTTACTTCATATAACTATTCACTTCACAATTCATAAGTCTGTATTCCTGATTAAAGTTTTCAAGGACAGGGACTGTATCCAGTTCATCTTTGTACTATCAGTTCCTAGTTCACGATGAGTGGAACATGGTAATTTCAGTAAATTCTTGTTAGATGGTGATGACAGAACCACAAGGGAGAATATTGGAAAGAAAAACAACTGCATTCCAAACATATTGGAAACAAAAAAACGGCTGCTGAGATAGTAGGATAGTATAGTGACTAACCTTTAAAAATACTGGCCGTGTATTGGGCCCTGTGCTAGGAATTTCACTATTATCTCATTTAATCTTCACACCTCAGGTACTGTTGTCCCATTGTACAAGTGCAGAGACTGAAGCTAGAGAAGCTTATGTGGGTTGTGCTAGGCCACAAGGAACTAGGCAGTGTAGGGGAGCCAGGACTCACACTCAAGTTGGCTTCACTCTGTAGACTGCTCTTAACTGATTTGCTATTCTTTCTTGTAAGTCTAAAGTTAAAGAAGCTGTGATTTTGGTCCTTGAGCTGAAGTTAACTTGAGTAATTAAAGGGAAAGTCAGAAAAAAACAATGTTGCAAGTTGGAACTTGGGCCTCTAATGAAAATTTATGAACTGTTGAATGTTAGAATTTCCATGTGATTGAATTTATGGCTTACTAGCCCTCAGGGCGGGGTTTGCAGGTGCTTATTTTCAGTATATTTCCTATTCCTAAACAATCCTAATTGCCTTCCAGATTTGGAGTTTTGACCTTCTTTCCCCTCTTTGTGAATTGAGGGGCCACAAAGGCTGTGTGCGCTGCTCTGTCTTCTCTGTGGACAGTGCCCTTTTGGCGACTGGAGATGACAATGGAGAAATTCGGGTAGGAGGTTTGCTGACATGAAAGCACTGCTCTTTCTGTAGCTTTGGCTAATGCTTTGTTTCACGTTGGGGACCTTTGTTAATGTGACTGGGAAGCACAGGCCCTGGGGTTCTGGTTGGATGAGGAATCATTTGCTTTGTTTCCTGTGCACGTTTTATTCACAGCTGCACTCCTTTGCAGAAAAGAATTCATTTTAGTTAGAGTGAAGTGTATGAGTTAGAGTCTGTGCATGCGAGGAGGCAAATGCCCAAGCTATTTGCAGTTGGTTGTCTGCTCTTAGCTTGAGAATGATTCATCGGAATTCTTGGACCTGAACCAAAGGTTGTTTATAGGGGCAGAATTTGAGGAAAATAATTTTACAAATCGTCAACTAGGTTATAAATGAATAAACAGCAAATTCTGCTGTTTTCAGCACTGAAAGAAAAGATCTCTTAATGAAACCATATTCATTAGATAGTCCACATTTACAGTGTGGCCTATTGCTGTCCTCATGGGACTGCCTGCCTCTGGTTGCATTAGAAGGATTCTGCAGTTGATGGGAAAAATTTGGGCATTGGGATGGCTGCGTTAGTAACCAGCATATTTGAGGAGCATCTTGTTTTTTTGTTTTTTCTTTTTTACAAAGGAAGATTTAAAATTCATGAGAGAGTATGCAGTTTGCAGGAATGGAGGCATTATCAGATAGGCTTTCCAGGACAATTAAGATTCTCATGCTTGAGGACTAAGTTACCAACCTTCTCTGTACTAAAAAATGCATGTTAACTGAAGTGCCAGGACTGCTTTGGGAACACTGGTTTTGCTCTGAGTTCTCATCTTGGATGAGAATGCTCCTTTACTGGCTATGAAGGAGTATTTCATTTTTCAGAAACCCCTGGGGAAATAAATTCTCTTTCTTTAAATGCATGTTATTTAAAATTTTTTTTAACACATTAAACAAAAATTTTTTCTACCTGATCAAAATGTAGGAAAGCTGTATATATGTGTGTGTATATATGTATCTAGCTTATATCTAGCTATCTTACTGAATTCTTTCTAATGAGTTTCTCCATTTGATTCTCTTGGATTTTCTAGGGAAACATTTATAAATGATGATTTTGGTTATTTTCCCTTGCCTTTATGCCTCTGTATTTCTTTTTCCTATTCTGATGGGCATTTATTTGAGAAATTAGAGTACTATTCATATATTAATTATCACTGGAAATAAATGGAAGCATTAGCATCTGTAAGTAATTGGGTATAGATTATATATATAAAACCCTGTAGGGACTTATTGTTTAAAATATGTTTGAATGACTTTAGGTATTTGAATGATCTCTGTCAGAATTCTTAGTGGTAGATACTGGACTAGAATTCTATGTTTTGTTTTGTTTTTTTAGGGAGTTTGTTAGGCCTTTTTTTGTTTGTTTGTTTATTCCTTGCTTTTCCCATTATTTTCTTTTTATTAAGTGAAGAAAGTCACAATATTCTGACCAGTTCTAAGTTCTCTTATTTTTTGGAGTATGGTTAATGATAAATATTTTTTAGTAATGCATTTTTATTATAATTAGTGTTTTTTTAAAATTTGGACAGGAGAGAATGCAGTCTAAATTCCTAAGATATCACTGAATTGTAATTATATTTTTAAGAAAGATTTCCAAATATGTTCCAGAAGAGATGGATAGATATATAAAACTTCTGGGTGACCCTGTTAATGCATTGTATATCCTGTTTGTATAGATATGGAATGTCTCAAATGGTGAGCTGCTTCATTTGTGTGCTCCGATTTCAGTAGAAGAAGGAGCTGCTACCCATGGAGGCTGGGTGACTGACCTTTGCTTTTCTCCAGATAGCAAAATGCTTGTCTCTGCTGGAGGATATCTTAAGGTAAGAGTTCCTCAAAGACTGTGAAAGAAAAGAGCAGCCTATATCCTACTTTCCAAGCTATTTTCGCTTCCTGTTTCTCAGTTGGGCCTGCTACAACCCAGCAGAGTGGAAGGGCAGTTACTGTTCTGCTCATCTGGCAGCGATGAGCTGAGATCTTGAAGGCTGCTTTCCTCCGCTCTCTTGGAAGTTCTGATGGCAGTGTTAGGAATGTTCTCTGTCCAGAGTTCTCATACTGCCCCATACTTAGATGATCAGAATGACTAGGAAGTTGGGTGTTTAACTTAATTTTATTTTCCACATCACTAATTGTTAACTCTTGGTTGAAAGTCTTTAAAAAATGTATTTGTGGAAAAAAATTTATTCGTGAAATTTCCTTTCTTAAGTAGTAGTAGCAGTAGTGGTAGTAGTAGCGGTAGTGTTAATAATAGCAGCAGCAACATATTGCTTTATTTTATAGCCTACAAAATGCTTTCCTTACGTCGTCTCATTAGCCAGCTTTGTGAAGCTTAAATTTCATTATCCTTGGTTTATAGATGAGGAAACTGATGTTCATGGCGGTTGTGAGTTTCCTAAAGTTACATAGTAAGGTAGTAAGGTGGCTTGTGTAAACTTATTGTTAGAGAACACAGAGGCTAAGGATTGAATGTGTTGTGGTGCCTCAGGGTCATTTTTTGGTGCTTGCATCTATTTATCCATCCACTCAATCAGAATGTGTTAAGTGCCCACTGTGTGCTAAGACACTGCTGTATGGCAGTGTTTAAGACTTGGTTTTTGCCTTCCAGTGGCTTATAGTCTGGGGGAAGCAGACAGTAAATAGTCTTTAAAGTATAGGAGGGTTCTGGGACATGTCTGCATAAAGATAATGGAGTTGGCAGAGGCTTCTTAGGGATGGGGATGCTTGAGGTAGAGGGTTTTGAATGGTGGTAAAAGGGATTGAAGATACTATATATATATATATATATAATTTTTTTTTTTTTTTTTATGGAGCAATACACCAAATTTATTAATAAAGTGTTAAGTGACAAAAACCCCAGCTGAAAGAAGGAGTGCTATTGGTGGTCAGGAAATTAGTCCTACATGCTTAAGACTCTGCCAGTTATAAAGAATGCAAGGCAAAATACTAAAAGCTATGGATATGAAGAATAAATGAGAAAGCCAGAAAACAAAAGAGAAATTAAGTCAATATACCTAAAAGCGAGTACAGATAAATAGCATTAGGTATAGGGACAAGATTAGTCTATGAAAGACTGTGCATCTAGCTAAATAAATATTATTTATTTATTTATTTATTTGGTGTAGTGTTCCATGATTCATTGTTTGCATATAACACCCAGTGCTCCATTCAATACATGCCCTCTTTAATACCTATCACCAGGCTAACCCATCCCCCCACCCCCCGAAGATACTATATATTGTACTGACCACTTAAAATAGATCCCTAATAAATTAGATCTTACAGTACTTTTCTTTCTTTTTTTTTAAGATTTTATTTATTTGATAGAGAGAGACACAGTGAGAGAAGGAACACAAGCAGGGGGAGTGAGAGAGGGAGAAGCAGGCTTCCCGCTGAGCAGGGAGCCCGATGCGGGGCTCGATCCCAGGACTCTGGGATCATGACCTGAGCCGAAGGTAGACACTTAACGACTGAGCCACCCAGGCACCCCGGTACTTTTATTTCTTCCTGAAAACATTCAAGTGTAGGAAATGATTCTGATTAATTATCTAACACAGGATAGATATTCAAAAATATTTGAATGAATGAAGTTTCTGGTTATATGAGACCCTCATAATTGCAGTTTTAGTCAGCATAAAAATCTAGCTTATAAAAAAGAGGACAGGGCGCCTGGGTGGCTCAGTCGCTAAGCGTCTGCCTTCGGCTCAGGTCATGATCCCAGGGTCCTGGGATCGAGTCCCACATCGGGCTCCCTGCTCTGCAAGAAGCCTGCTTCTCCCTCTCCCATTCCCCCTGCTTGTGTTCCTGCTCTCGCTATCTCTCTCTCTGGCAAATAAAGAAAATAAAATCTTTAAAAAAAAAAGTCAATTTTTAGCTCTATGAGGGGATATTTGTTATGAACCCTTTCCAAAGAGTTTGCATTGAGAATACAATGCTTTTTATAAAATGTTGCATTGAGCTATACCTTTTTGGGCACACTTTTATTTAATTATGGGCGGGGAGATCGTGAAACTATCACCATTTGTTTTCCTTTAGTGTAAAGATAAACCATGACTCTTAGACTGCTCTGAGGATGATGCTTAGAGGAGCAGGATTGCGGTCTTTCGGTTGAAAGCAGGGAGTCTTGAGCTTCATTAACTGCTGAAAAACTTAACTGCTCAGCTTTGACACTGAGCTTCTAGAGACCATGTTATTTGATGCCCTGGGCCCCATAGAAGCCTATCACATAATTATGAATCTGGCTTACAAGATGTGATAACCATCAGTGACCAGATTTCCAGAGTTCTTGGAGAACCTTGAAATAAGCAGCAGAATAGGTATCTGTATTGTATGGGTTTATGTCTTAAAGGTGTAAGAACCTATAGCCTATACTTCAGTCTGTATGTTTAAGTGACAGGCTTTCTTCCCTCTGGTTTGATTACTAGCATGGTTAAACTGATTATGATATAGCCCAGCCTGCATCTACCCAGCATGTTAATGAGACTATCAAAAGCACAGAACAAATTAAAAGTAATAAGGAACAGCTGCTGTAGTGTCCAAAGAAATAGGCCTTTTGAGTCTGTTTACTAAGGAATCTAAGCTGTATAAATTGAATATCAGTAAGGTAAAGTAGATATCCAGTAGCTAAAAAGCTCTTAACTTTCAAAGTTATTTCTGTCTATAAAGTTAAAAAGTAATATAATTTAGCTGTTTGTGTTATGCCATGGAGTACATACTGTTAGAATGACAAACACATTAAACCATACTTATGAGAAGAAAGTCTGATTTGAAATATGGAACACATGGTGATAAATGCAGGTGTGCCATTACTTAGAGGCAACAGAATGTAATGGTCAGGAGAGTGAGTCTTGGGCAGATTGCCTAAGGTCAAAGCCTGGCTCTGCCCCTCATTAGCTTTGTGATTTTACACAAGATTATTTAATCTCTCTATGCCTTGATTTTCTCATCTGTAAAATGGGTATAATAATAACATCTATCTCAGAGTTGGGAGGGTTAAAGGAGTTAATACATGTTAATATACATAGTGTTAAAGGAGTTAATACAGCACCCTAAATAGTGTCACATAGGAGTAAATGTTAACTATTTTAATTCACTTTATTTCTTAGAGCAGTTTTAGGTTCACAGCAAAATTGAGCAAATAGTATAGAGTTCCTATATATCTCCTGCCCTGACACACGCACAGCCTCCCCCATTGTCACCAGAGTATCAGTAGAGTGGTACATTTGTTAGAATTGATGAACTTCAATTGGCGCATCATTAGCACCTTAAATTCATAGTTTACATTAGGGTTCACTCTTGGTATTGTTCCTTCTGTGAATTTTTCTTTTTAAGATTTATTTATTTATTTGGGAGAGCACGCGTGCATGAGTGGGGTAGGAGGGGCAGAGGGAGAGTGAGAGAAAGAATCTCAAGCGACTCCCTGATGACTGTGAAGCCTGACATGGGGCTCAGTCCCATGACTCTGAGATCATGACCTGAACCGAAATCAAGAGTTGGACGTGTAATGGACTGAGCCGTCCAGGCACCCCCATTCTGTGAATTTTGACAAATGTATAATGATATGTGTCCACCATTGTAGTATCATACAGAATAGTTTCATTGCCCTAAAAATTCCCTGTATTAGCTGCTATTTTTAATGTCATTGTTTTTTAGTCCATATTCAAGTTAGTGGCTGGTATAGTGTTTCCGAGTGGTTTGTTTGAATAGAGGGAAAGGTAGTGGGAGCACTAGATTAGGTACCAGAAACTGTTCCACCTCTGTCACCTGCTAGCAGTATCATCTTGGGCGACGAGGCCTTTCTTCTCTCAGAACCCTGGTTTCCTTATTTGTAAAATGAGACAGTTGAACTAGATGATCTCTAAAGGCCTTACTATCTCTATGATATGCTCTTAGTGACTAAAAACTAATGAGTCTTAAGTAGGTGGAATGTGTCCTCTGCAATCTTGTTTACATTGCTATTTTATAAAGCAAAATTGTCAGTTCTGAAAAATTTCAAGTTAGTACAAGTTGCTTCAGTGAGGTTTACTGAAGTCCATGGGGTATACTTTTATCAGTTACTATTACTGAGTGAACACAAATAGCTGACCCAGTCAACTGCTAGAATGCTAGGCACTGCCCCAGATACAAAAGTGAGTGACACCATTATTTTGTTCATAATACTCTGAATCTCGATGTGCGTTTTCAAAAGGTGGTCAGGTACATTGTCTCTTTTGCCCTTACTTTAGCTGTGAGATACATGGGTAAGCTTTATGATCTCCATTTCATAAATGACTATGAACACTGTTGTAATCTTAGCTAATTCAGTTATCGGGAGGAGAAAGGAAAGGATTTGGCCAGAGCACCTGCCTAATTTGAGATGTTCAATATTTATTTAGCAAATAAATCTATAGACTGTTTTGTAGAGAAACTTGGTCAATGGCTCTTGAATCATTCCTGGTGAAAAGGAAGATTCAGTAGAGAGAACATTCTATCTGGTAGCCTATAATAGAAAATAGTCTCAGTGTCTATCAGAATACCAGTCTGTGGGCGCCTCAGTGGCTCAGTCGGTAAAGTGGCTGCCTTCAGCTCACGTCATGATCCCAGGGTCCTGGGATCGAGCCCCACGTCGGGCTCCTTGCTCAGTGGGGAGCCTGCTTCTCCCTCTCACTCTGCTGCTCCCCCTGCTTGTGCTCTGTCTCTGTCAAATAAATAAAATCTTAACAACAACAAAAATACCAGTTTGTGTCTGCAAAGGGACGTTTTTAAAGAAAAGAGGGGCATTATTCTATCCATCCCAATGAGAAAGACATGCAGGCAGCAAAGTTCAGTGCAGTCATGGCTAGAGTGGACTTGTGCAGCCTTGTGTCTGTAGCTTTCAATAGGCTGCACAATTTCTCAGCATGCCTTGTGGTGGGGCTAGGTGTTCGGTAGCTATGAGGCAGTCACCAGGATTAATCAGGAAGGGCTGACCAGGTTGATTATACTATATTCAGCATTAAACCTTAGACTTTTTTCCCTGCTTTTGCTGAAGTTTGGGAGTGGGGAGGTGATAGGGTGAAGGATTCGGCTGGCACATACAGTTGTCACACAGAGTAATTACTAGTCTAATGAGAATTTTATTTTTCTCTGAACAGTGGTGGAATGTTGTCACTGGGGAGTCCTCACAGACCTTCTACACAAATGGAACCTATCTTAAGAAAATACACGTGTCCCCTGACTTCAAAACATATGTGACTGTTGATAATCTTGGTATTTTATATATTTTACAGATGTTAGAATAAAGTAGTTAAGGATTAATGTAAGTTGAACTTTTTAATTTTGAATTGGAAAAAATTCTAGTGAAACTCTCTGTATTTCGACTTTTTGTAAAGCTGTGAATTGTTTTGCAGTTATTGCATTCATTACAAAAGTGTTTGTGGTTGGATGAATAATGTTAATGTAGCTTTTTCCTAAATGAACGCACCTTTAATCTTGTTTTTCATAATCATCATCATTATTGTTAACAGTTTGTCCTTAAGGTGCAAATGAAAATGTAAATACGTACCTTATTATACTGTTCGTAAAATTCTCTCATGATGCATTCAAATTGGTTGACATAATTAATGAGAATAATTCGGAGGAAATATGTATTTTAATGCTATTATTATGCAGGCTGTGCCTCAGGATAGCAGACCTGCTTTCTGAACCACATTTACCCCAAAGGGCATAGTTCTCCCAATTACAATCTTGGGGCTTATTTGTACCCCTTAAATTTGCTTTAAAAATATTATGTCTGCCTGCAATGTTTCTTTTAATTCACTCAGTAAGTGAGTGTTGGATTTCAAAAGTTGTTTGAAGCAAAAGTTCTTGTGAAGCAAAAATTATACGTGTTGAAGAGAGTAGATTTTATTGGTTTACCTTTTCCTCATTAGCTGATGGCAGCTCTGTGCTGCAGTGGGACTCTAGTAGTCAGTCTCTGAGTTGGGTGCTGTCCTGCTCGCTCTGGTTTTTTATGTACCAGACTTGTTACTTGACTGAACTTGACCTTTTTAAATCCTCATTTTCTTCTTCTTCTTTTTTTTTTCCTTAAACAATTGTCCTGCAGTTGAATTTTTGTTAATTAGAGTAATTGGGGAGGAGCCAGTTTTCATTAAAGTTTGAACAGGATTTTTCTAAGAAATATAGTAAAAAAATCCATTTTCTTCTAAGTCTGTTTACTTAGATGAATGGCATTGTCAGTGCTGTTTTCAGTGAATTTCAAGAGAATTCTCTATGGTTTTCTATGCAGTAACAGAAGAGTTATCGTGACTCTGGAAGATGTCACTTTTAACCTACCAACTGTTCTATTTTCCTTCTCCTTTTCCCTCCTTCTCTCCTTCCTGTCCCTTCCTCCCTTTTTCCCTCCGAGGTTAATCAGGAAAGATAGCTCTTGACAGGGAAAAAGTACATCAGCATCAGTAACTAGCTTTTTTTTTAACCTCCTGATTAGGAACTTTAATTGCAGTTTAAATCTCCATTTCCCCTGACAATATATTGTTAAGGGAAATGGCAATAATTTAATAATAGATGTGGTTCATATAAGAAAATAACCAAAATTCAAAAATTTTGCTGCTGCAATAGGAACTAAATCAAATGAGTATTAGTGTTAATAGTAGGTAAGTAGTGAGCCAGTTTCTGTTGTTGGTGTGCATTAGATGTGGTGTAGGTAGGGGGGCCTCGACCACTCCAGATGTATTTTAGATTAAATATACTATTTAGTATTTAAGGGAGCCATAAATAAAATTATTAAGGAGGTTTGGCTTTTGTTTTTTTTATGATGGGTTGAGGAACTAGTTTATAGGCTTACTGTGATTTAAGCAAATGTGATGTGAAAATCTTAATTTTATGAAAAAGTTTCTGTAAATGATATATTGTGCTTAGAGTATCCAAATCATAATTTTGATTTGCATACAGTGTTTAGGAACTCATTTATAACTCAGAGTATAAAGTATTAACTTTTGGAATTAAAAGCCACTTGACTGTTAAAGTGTAGAACAAACATCGGCTTTTAAAAAACCTTGATTGGCTCTTGTCTTTAAAATGAAAAATGGGAAGAAAAGGTAACATGACAAAAAGGCAAGGTAAAAAACAAGGTAACTTGAAGTAAGAAGAGAAGCCTAGCATAATGGCGCTGCATGTTTCAAGGCAGCTCAAGTGGTCAGTCAAGGGGGGAGGGTTTTGTTTTATACTTGCAGATGAGCATTTTTCAAGCATTTTCCCTTGCTTTATTTTTTGTAATGGAAATTACATTGCATTTTATATATGTAAAGGTTTTTTTTACATTGTGTGTGTCTTGTATGTTTTGAAAACTTTTGTATTTATGATACAGGTCACATGTTTTTGTTTTTTGTTTTTTGCTTTGGTATACATTTTAACACATGAAGTAAAAAATTTATAAAAAATAAAATTTCTAAAATATTTTTGAAAAACATTTTCAATTGTTTCAGACTCCTTGCTTGTCCTTTGTTGATTAGAAAACAAATGTGAAAGATTCTTCAAACTAAAAGCTGTCATCCTTTCTATTAATGCTTTATCAACCATGTCTAATTCAATTTTATCAAAATTTTTTTTCCTCAGTTTCTCTCTGATGATTGCTACCTGGTGTGACTGGCATGATGAAGAACCTGTAAAGAAGAGAATTCATTTATTTATTCTTTCATTCAGTAAATATTTATTGAGATCTACCATGTGCCTGGCATTTTTGTAGGAATTGGGGATAGAAAAGTGAGCCAAACAGTCTTTTTCCTACTGCAGTTTAGGGCCAAGGAGAGGCAGAAAATAAGTAAGTAGAATCTATAGCATATTAGTTGGTATGTTTAAGTGGGGAGGTGAGGGGAGAAGCGTTTACAGTTTTAGATGGAGTTGCTCACTGAGAAGGTGACCCTTGAGTACAGACCTGAAAGGTGAGGGAGTGAGTCGTCCAGGTATCTGGAGAGATTCCCAAGGGAGAGCGCAGTGAGCGCCAAGACGGGACAGTGGGTGGGTTGCTCTGTTACAGAGCTGGCAAGGAGGCTGGGGTGTGGCTGGAGGTGGGTGGGGGTGGGGGGGAATGTTGACAAGAGGTGCATCACCATGCAGGGCCTCCTAGGCTACTGTGTGGACTTTTACTCTGAGATAGGAGACACTGGAGGAGTTTGGGCAGTGGAGTGATCTGACTTAAGCTTTAATTGGTTCCTCTGGCAGTGGGAAATTGAAAATCAGTTGAAAAGGGGGACAGGCAAGGGGGGAAGCAGGGGTACCAGTAAGAAGCTTTTGTAATAATCTGGGCAAAATGAAGGCAGCCAGATTAGGATGGCAGCAGTAGGGGTTGTGACAGTTGGATTCTGGATATATATATATGTGTGTGTGTGTGTATATATATATATATATATATATATATATATTTTAGATTTTATT